CTCCCCTTTTTATGCCCCTTGATTTCGATAAAAATACCCGGGGTTACGTTATCCTGCACAGCCAATCGTGCGCCTACCTGTAATTTTCGAACGTTTTTCTGTCCTTACATGGAGCGTTATGTTTCGTTATTTTTCGGCCCATTGTCTCCATGCCCATACCCATTAATCCCTGACTCAGCCGGTTTAATCTGGGAGGGCACCCGGCTGGCAAATACACACCCGGTGTGTGTACTTGGTCGGTGGCGTTAGGATAACCCCCATCGCCCTCATTGTCTGCTCTGCTCGCTTAATATTACCCCCCAGCCCTTTCCCCGATGTTGTGCGTAACTCATTGTTGCTGGCCCGGTGAACCTTGGTGCGCCCATACAATTTTAAGCCAATTTAGGGGCACCGCAATGTAATTTGTGCTGGGAGGGTCGGACAATCTCCTGGCACCAGGAAACCGTGAGACTCCCCACCTAGGGGCCCTTTGGATGAAAACCCGTTGTGCCAGGCGATCCCCCGCCGGGATACTACGTGTGTGTGTGTGTGCTGCGTGCGTGCGTGCACTCGGGGGGGGGGGGGGATAGGGGGAATTGCGGCGCTTGCGGAGTTGCTCCGCGGTCGTGGCACCACACAGGCATTTACCACTCTTGATGTTTACGTTCACGATACATTAATCAAATTGTGCACATCTGAATACGTTATTTTGTGTCATGCGTATGCTGTATATAATAGTTTCACGTGAGCCCTGCTGCCGCTAGAGGCATTATGTTCATCAAAGCATTTAAACATCCATTCTTGAATCGTTACTTCAAATTACAACGATGCATTGCATCGCGATGGCAGAGAATCATTGCACGTCTGATACAATTGGATATCGCTCAACAGTCCTTACAGATATGTCAGCATCCCACTTGTTGTACTGCCATCTAATGGCCAAATCTGTACGCGACAAAGAGAAACCCATCATAACAGACAAAAACAGCGGAGGCTGGAAATCCATAGGTTTATGGTCCACTTGTTATCCAGCTAGTCGGGTATATCCAAGCACATAATGGTCTCTCTACAATGCACCCAGCTCTGGATTTCAGTTGTCCGCCCCTACTATCCTTAATATTTGACAGATTTGGTTAAATTTCAACATATATTGCCAAGGGTTCTTTCTTAGGAATCAAACCCAAACCAACGAGTCCAAGAAAACATGGTGACTTTGACAACTGGTACATATCCAAATACAAAGTAGGGCCAGAAAACATTTACACGGTCTTATATTATGAGGTGCCACTTGTATTAAAATAGAGGTGACATGTCTATCGTGTAGTTACAAATAAGAATGCATCTGCTTTTTGTTGTTGTTGTCGTCGCTAATACTGTTGTAATATAAAATAGGGGGAAAAGTTGCATTGTAATTTGCTTGTGTCAAGAGAATTAACTGTGCCACCCTGAAAGTTACAGTCCTGCCAAAACTAAGTTTTAACGAGTTTCTGCAATAGCGAATCCGTTTCTGCTGACATGCATCATTCATTTTACCCAGCGTCAGTGTGATCCACAGAGATTTGTGTCGGCCTGGTAAACAATGTTACATATGTAATGCGGGCGTAAATGGGCGGGGCGGATATGACGATCCGAGAGGGAGGAGTCAGGGTCACGTGGGGGAGAAGTTATAGCGGGGAGACAGGAAGCCATCTGGGTCAGTCGGGGGAGTGAAGGGTGGTGAACACGTTGGGTGGTCGCCGTGCCTCAGCCTGGTGGCTGAGGGGCTCATGACGGCGCCAGCCAGCGGGGTGGAAGAGAGAGTGGAGGATTGAGGTTGGAGATGGCGAGATAGCCACAGAGGCCACGAAGGGCTGAGGTAGGAGATGGCGAGATAGCCACAGAGGCCACGAAGGGCTGAGGTAGGAGATGGCGAGATAGCCACAGAGGCCACGAAGGGCTGACGTTGGGAGGTGGCGAGATCGCCACGCACGGAGGAACAGGGAGCAGCGATGGAGCTGCTGTGAGAGCAGCCAGAGGGCTGCACCAAGAGCCTGCAGCGGAGCTGCAGGAGCGTGGAAGGCTACGGGAGCGAAGGCAGATGTGGGGCTGCCGGGGAGAGAGTCTCAGGAGGAGTGCCGTGTGGGAAGGAGAACGCGAACCCCAAATAAAGGACACGGAGTCAGAGAGAAGCGTCTGAGTCCTTTTATTACACATACATGATGCACATCGTGTAAATTTTTTATTTTATTTATTAATATGCTGCTCATATAGTATATATTTGGTTCTCGGGGTTCAACTCAATACTTTATTCCTCTGGGGTCAATAAAATCGGGGCCACTTTTTGGGAAGTTAACGGTTATGGTCAAATTGAGAGAATGGCTAACATCATGGAAATATTGAATTTCGGCTTCAGCCTCAGGACTGTCAATAATGTTTTGCATTTGCAGTGCCACTCGCTTAAGTACCTCAGATACTCAAGACGCCTTACATAACATCTCATCTCAAACATCCGAAGGGCAACCCCCATTGTCAGCTGTCCCCGTGAAACACAAGGCAATTTAGTACTGGCTTGCGCGTGGACATTAGTCTGCAAGTAGGGGGGAAAAATTGTTACGTGTTATCTAAATGAAGTAAATTGCGGGTAATTTTTAGAATTTGACAAGTTTGGACCAGGACGTTGGCACACGATGGCCTACTCATTTCTAATTACATCATGGAATATTTAACACCCACTGTGATGTGGACAACATGTATTGTTTGGTAAATACACCCACAGTATTAACCAGGGTGGCCCCCCTGACTGGAACCGCAAACATCTGTACCGTCTCAGTAGAGAGCAGCTGTTGTAATACGTGTATCGTTATGCATTTGTAGATAAGTAAATAGCGTCTCTACGGCGTGGAAGCCGACTACAACTGCAACACACACGACACATTCTATCCTTATTTTTTTACTCGGAATGTGTCGTATAGATCCCTGTCACAGGAATGTGGACCTCCCGCCACTGCCTCAGCTGTAAACAGCACGTGAGCACTGCCGCAGAGCAAATTTTACAAGAAATAACTTAAAATATTTTTTGACCGGTGGGATTCTTACTATGTGAGCTTATGTTATTTCATGGTTGTAGCCAGGAACACAGGAACACTGCTAGTGTGTGTGCACAGCGTCAATTGAGAGTGACTAAGTGATGTCCTTTGCGAGTTATGTTTTTATTTATTTAATGAACAGGGATCATTCTCAACATCTGAGCTGCAAAGCCTCATTAACAACGCTGAGATGAGAGTCGCCATTGGACTCATGATTTCCAGACCGTGTTACTTTTGTTTACATGTGTAGAGGTGTAATTGTAAAGATGTATGGGCACGGATGGGTAACAAACACAAGGGGCGTGGTTAGGGCCGTACACAGAGGAGGTGCTCGCACCGACGTCCGCACCTGCATCCCCCACGGGCCCCTCCCAGGGGCCCAGTGCTATAAAAGGTGGTGAGCCGGAGGGCTCGAGGTCGAGTGTTAGCTTTAACCAGCGAAGAGTGAAGACCAGCTAGAATAGGCCCCGGAGCTCCCTTGGCTTGCTGTCCTTGTCAGGACCGACCAGGGCAAGCCGGTGGCGTGGTCCCGAGAGCCCAGACTGACGTTCTTATAAGAGCCGGTCTGGAGACTCAGGGTGCCGGGATCCCAGCTTGACCAGGGCTGGGATAGGTAGCCTCCCCTAGCTCCGTAGTGGAGGACTCGGGCGTAGGTTAGCGGGGTTAGACGTGGTGTCTCCCTGTTAGACGAGTGAAGGGGACGATACCCCTTCAAGTGCTGTGTATTCCCGTTACTGTACGAAGTTGGTATTAATAAATAAGTGTGCCTCCAACCACGTCTTCCAAAGCCTCCTGCAACTTACTACACATGTTCAGCAGTCACACGACCTTATCGGAAGCACATCTCTCCATCGCAATGTTTGTATGAAAGATCACTTTGGCAATGAGCACATTGTGTGCAGAACTTTAATGTCGCCATGTACTCTAGACATTTAAACAAACAAAAATTAAGCCATTAAACAGTTGCATCAGGTGCTCTGAAATATGATTAATAATTAATTATGTGCCAACTTTTATTGTACATTGTTCATATATATAATTAGAAGCTCAGCAATGTCTGAGGAGAATTGAAGACTAATTTTTTAAAAATAGTGTGGTAAAGTTGAGTCATTTATTAAATGTATTTCATATACATACAGTGGAACCTTGCCACAGTGCAGCAGGGGAATTCTAGAATACAAGGGCGCTGCAGTGGCGAGATGTTAACTACCTCGTCTGGTATGCAGGAGGTCGTGGGTTCGATCCTGTCCCTGACGCCTGCTGTATATTTGGAGTTATATACGCTTTCCCTGCGATCGCGTGGATTTTTCTTCAGGTCCTCCGGGTTTTCCCTCCACATTTAAAATCAACATGCGTTTACACTCTTTGGTTGCGATACATTGCCACGTGATAAGCCACTTCGTTGAGCTATCATTTGTGGCCAGGTCGCTTCTGAAAAAGAGCTATATAGTTCAGTGGGCCTTACCTGGTAAAATAAAATAGTTTAGTTGAATACGTAATTCCCTTAATCCCCCTGTGTCTGTCCACCCATCAGTGTATTGGCACACCATAGTCAGTCGATCAGGTGGCATGTGGTGGGGTACAGCGTGGGTACTTTCAACCCTCCCAAGATGTGTGGCCAGCGTGTAAGAGGCAAAATACCGTTTGTGAGAAGCTCTCTTCAAGAGCTCCCCTTAGTGAAGGCCCTTCTGCGAGCAGTGCCGGGAACAAGCAGTTGCAGGGCTGCACCTTGTACTTTTACCTTCAGTGAGATACATTTTAAGTGCGGTATCTACTTTCAGCGAAGCTTCAAACACTACAATAATAATGAGCATGTAACCTGTCAGAGAATATACCATTTCAACATTTCTCAAGGCAGTAGCTCGGTCATATTCCTTACAAGCAGAAACTGTTTCCTGGACGTTTTCTTAATAGTTTTTTACTAACTTTTTTCATGCATAACTATTTTTCTTCCAGGAACCTCTCTTATAATCCCTCGCTGTCTATACACTCGCAGCAGTTTGACTTTTTGAAGAGCCTGGAGTCCTTGTAAGTATTCATTTTGTTTTCTTTGGGATTATATCTGTCACGTTCTCATATTTTTTTCGTACTATATTAAGACAATATACCCTGGTTTTTTTGTGCTTCTTCCGTGAGCAAAATGCTTACCACATCAACCTCATATTTCTCTTGGCCCGAGGCAAACGCAGCAGCTGTATGTGATATTTGTTAAGTTTAATTCACGGAATGTCTTTCTACAGAAATAGTGCACATGATGAGATGTATTTATTTTATTTTAATTAAATGCAGCTCAGAATGTTGCTTGAATGTCCTATGGATGGACATGCCCCTGCCATGTAAATGTGTAATTTCCATAACTGTCTCGAAACACCAATGAAAATAAGTACTGGTGAATACTATTTTGCACAGGAATACGCTTTATCTTGGTCTTGAGTAAAAATTTTGACGACTTTTTTAATTCACCAATTGTATGAATCTCAATGATTAAACCATAAGTAGCTGTAAGGTAATTGTACTTTAGTCATAGATAAATGTGTTGTGGATACAAAACTGAAAAGTCAATGTGTCATTTCATTTCACTATTTCAAGTTAGAGTGGCCAAGTTTGGAATATAGTGAAGTAATACCCCGGTTTATGTCTCCCCCGTTTCACAAATACGCCGTCACTTAATTGATACCACGACTTGATTTGCATCGCCTCAATCCACACTTTCATCGCTGGCAGCATGGTCCGTCCTTGCTCGTAATCCGTCCCCTCTCGACCTTCGCTTCCACCACCTAACCTTGTAAATCACTTTGATTTGCATCGTTTCGATATTTGTCGTTGCACATTTCAGGAACTCATCCCCGACGTAAACTGGGGGTATCACTGAACATCATAGTCAAGCAAAGTGCTTGCCACAAATACACCACAATACCTTGCTGATCTCGTCAAAGAGCATAAGCCATCACGCAAACTTCCATCAGCTTGGCAGCAGCTGTTGGCTAATCATCGAACAAAGACGGTCACTGCATCGCACGCTTTTTAAATCACCTAGATTGAAAACTAATTTCTTGATAAATGCATTTTGTATTTAGCTATTTTTCTATCTACGTGACTTTACCGAAAGAACCAAAGAATATGCAATAAACGACTCAAACATATTTGTGACCATGAACGTCATTTTGTGAATGATACATATTCTGGTGCATTTATATATAACAATGCCTGGACTATGAATACTTAAGTGAAGAATAGAGTTGTCATTTCGAATGGAGTAAAACAAGTATATATATCTACTCATACTCGTCGTGATTTAATTTATTTTATTTTATACCTACGTGACTTTACCGAAAGAACCAAAGAGTATGGATTCCTACAGTCATGAAGACTTCACATCTAGATAAAATATATATCTCGCGAGCTAGTTCATGAACCGCACATTTCATACAAAAATTTCATGCAAAATGGAATTAAATTGAGTTTTGTGCAGCTGTGTGTGGCCTATTAACCGTGGAAATGAAATGTATCAACGATTCTAAACTTAATTCTATAAATAATCACCGTGTACACCTCCAACATCACTTTGGGACACTTTAGATTACCCAGCGTGGATAAGCAGTACACCCAGTCTCAGTGACAGATTTGTAATGACACAGTGCACATGCACAGGGGAAATTGTACATTTAATTTTACAGACAATGAGATAAGACATCCCCTGCGAAGGAGACATTGCAGAATACAACGAAAATATAAACTGAAGGGCAAAAATAGAACAGTTCATAGTTAAAGCAGATATTGTAAAAATCCAACATTCTCAATAGCCAAAATATGCAAATAAAACTTAAACAGACACATGTGCGCGTCCATGACTTAATACAAGTATAATTGCATACTATTGGAGGAAAACATTTTTTATGGATACATTGTGGAAAATTATTTTGGCCCATAGGCAAAATTTGCTTGCTTGCTCAATAACAGCGTATCGGTTGCCTTCGTAGCTACGAATAACAAGGTTTTTCTCCTCGGATACGTTACACAGCTCTGCTTTGCCCCCTACAGGAGCATGGAAGGAATTGAGATCAACAACATTCAGAATCGAATGTTCAAGCCACTCCGTGCCCTCTCCCACATGTGAGTTCATCTTTCTTCACGTAGTTATTTATTATTTATTAAGGATATATCTCTGGGCCAGGTTGGTGCGGTGCCAGAGATCAGTCTCGACCGAAAGTTTACGAATTTAAATCATAGACGGCGGACAACTCAACTCATCCACCCTCTCGGGCAGATGTTGGGACATCAATAGCGGTTATCATATGGAGACACTGGTCCTCACCATTGAAATGTGGAATTTACGTATGTATGTTGAACTTCTTTCGCACCCTATGTAGCCAACAATCACAACCTCTGTACATGTGCATGACACAATGGTCCTTTGAGCAGGGGAAACGCTGAGTAGATGCTTAAAATTTGAGTCACCTCATGCATTTGTTGTTGCACCTGCCAATCCAGAGAAAACTACAGTATTCCCCACGAACTTGCTAGACGCGATTTTTGCTGTCAGCAAATCGCATCTGAAACTCGACATGACTCTGTAGAGAGATGAGATAAAGTGATGAGAGAAAATGCTTTCTGAGAAAGTGATGAGAGATCGAGTAACGAGATGAAGTTATGAGAAAGTAATGTGTTACGGTAATTTCCATGCATTTAAAAGCATATTTACGTATTAATTTAAGGTAATCCATACGCAAATATCATTATCCACAAAATATGCTATTCGTGAGTATCTCCGGAACGTATCCCTCGCGAATAACGAGGGAATTCGGTATGTACATTTTTATCATTTTATAAGTGGGGTGGAGCGATGGTGCGGCAGTTGTCACACTCGTTTCTTTGTAAACCCAGCGACCTGAGTTCCATTCCCAGACACGGCTAACATCAATGGTGAGTGGGATTTAAAATTGTTCCTGCCCCCCCCCCTCTACCCGCACTCACCGACCCATACTGAACAGTGTGGTGAATATGGTCAGGCAACATATACAACCAAAAGGTGTGTGCGGAGGACTGTATGCAGTGATGGGTTGAAAAAAGGGTGTTATGTAATTTACAATATAACTATTATACATCATATATTATTCCACTGCGATATTAATTAATAGTAAATATCAAATATACCATCAATGATGGTCTTCATTGTTAACTGCTTCGCAAAAACATTGACCTATGGGCCTATGCACAGCAAAATGTAGGAGGTGCAATTTCCATATTACTGCTTTGGGCACTCTCGCCTCTTTTAAACTCAACCACCCCTTTGCAAAGGACAGAGGCCGCTGTCACTCACTTGGAGAGTAGAACGCCGAATGCCGCTCAGCCAGTGACATGAGAACTCGTGAGCGGGAAGCAGCCATGAAATGCAACGTGAAGAATGCTCATTTGAATCCCGGTCCATGTTTACACCAAAGTTTTGGTCAGGGCACTTTCCCGTCCGAGGCAAAGTGGCCAGATGCTCGGCGGAGTAGCCTTTCGGCGGCAGATCGCGCGCAAGGGGCCCTCGGTGACGTCACCTGGGTTCATCGATGCTTTGCTGCTTGCAAGTGCGCGGATATAAAAGGACACGATGGTTGTGAAGTGTATCGGCCATTCAAAGGCATCGCCATTAGCACTGCTGACTCATCCGTAAGCTTAAGTCTAACAAATCACAACTCGCGGGAACAAGGGTTCTGCTATTGCAAATGCTTTGTTTTCTTATTTGCACGTGACATTTCCTACCAAGGAAAGCTATAATTTTATGGTGTTGTACTATTTTGTTGTTTTTTTTCATACATATTTACTCGTGAGATGATAGTGAATTATTGAAAAGAAAAAAAAACTGACATTTTCATCGATGTCTTGTGTTGAACAATAGCTATGGACAACGTTTCGCTTAATGCATTCGTTTATGAAATGTAGGTGGGAAACAGGGGTTGTGATGTTGTTGTATACAGTCATTAAGCACATCTTCTATTTAATTAATGAACATTAATGAACACCTTCATAACGCTCCAGATGTGCGGTTTCGTAATGACTGTATAACAAGGTTTGTAGGACTTGGCTCTGAACTGCCCGGCACGTGCTGCGCCCTTCCTATTGAGAGTGACGTTGGCAAACCATCCACGACCCCCAACCCCCGAAGCTTCAATACAAGTTTGGCTCCCCCAGTGCAGTGCTGCTACCCGAGGACCAACAGCACTCGCAGCAGGGCAGCGGGACCCTGGACGGTCGTAAACAATAGCAGAGGAAAACATTACTAACGAACGACATCCACGAGCGATAGTAGAGGCATCCTGCCAGCCACCCAACCCCGCACCGTAGCGCGTCCTACACAGAGGTGTAACGATTCTTCTGCGGACGGTGATTTGACAAATGTTTTAGGATTCAAGGGGGCATGATTTGCTTTTAAGAATGTACTGAAAATATATTTCTGCCTAAATTTGTATAGCCTTACTCTTTGGTTCTTTCGGTAAAGTCACGTAGAAATAAAATAAATAAAATAATAGAATACGACGTTTAGATTGCAACACAAACAACCGTCATCAGGTATGAATGAATGAGAAAATAAACCTAGTAAACTTAGAAATGTAATGCAAGACAACACAGAGAGTCGGCTAACACTAGTCAACACCCTACCTGGTTGATTACATTTGTCCAAAGATTGCTAAATTTGAGAGAGAGACAAAACACAGACACGGGGACACATAGAGAGACACACAAGCAGAGAGAGACACACAGAGAGAGACACACACAGAGACACACAGAGAAACAATAACTTTGTGTCAAGGCCTTATATAGAGAGAGGGGGGTTTGAGGCAGATAATTTAGCACGTCAATGAGAGTGGCCGGAGGAGAGAAAATGGACCTATAGACAAAGAAAATTGGAACTTGACAAACTTGGTAAAATTTAGAGAGAGAAATAGGATGTTTGAGAAAACAAACTGAGTAAAATTTGTAAATGTAATGCAATGCAACACAGAGAGTCGGTTAACACAACAGTTAACACTTTGCCTGGTTGATTACGTTCTTCCAAAGATTGCTAAATTAGAAGTTAAGTGTGAGTTGTGTGGAAATCCTCCCCGAAGAGGTGGTTCAAACTTGATTTGAAGCTTTCGTGACTGCAGGAATTACTCTTTGGTTCTTTCAGTAAAGTGACGTAGAAATAAAATAAATTAAATACATCGAAAAGTCGTATTCTTTTATTCTGTTTACTTTCTTTCTACGTGACTTTACCGAAAGAACCAAAGAGTAATCCCTGCAGTCACGAAAGCTTCCAATCAAGTTTATATCGCCTTGTTGCATTCCCCCTCAAAATCCCCACCCCCCCTCATTGGTATGTTTTGATCGCTCAGCTTAGCTTAAACGTAGCAGCATATCGTGTGCGCGCAATTTGCGTGAATGGAAAAAAAACGTCAGTTCAATCTTGAGTAATATTATGCAGGTATGTTTAGCATTTAAATGATATTGATTGGTGCATCATTACACCCATTTGTTTCCCACTCTGACTCTGACATCACCCAGATTAACACGTATCAAGGCAGCTGTAAAAATCACCATATGGGCAGACCCCTTGGTGGACATTAGTCTAGATAATCACATCCACAAATGAGACCACGTTATCCCATGACTCCATTTCCTCCACTGGCTCCTAATCCAATGCTGGTTTAATTTCAATATTATGCTCATAATTTTTCAGATCCTTCATGGATTCGCCCCTTTTCCACACTACCTCTCCCCCACTGATCTCACTCTACTCCCCTATACGCACCCTCTGCTCCAGCAACCAAGGCTTTCGGTTGAAGTTCCCAGTAAACTTCATCGATGCTTTGCTGCTTGCAAGTGCGCGGATATAAAAGGACACGATGGTTGTGAAGTGTATCGGCCATTCAAAGGCATCGCCATTAGCACTGCTGACTCATCCGTAAGCTTAAGTCTAACAAATCACAACTCGCGGGAACAAGGGTTCTGCTATTGCAAATGCTTTGTTTTCTTATTTGCACGTGACATTTCCTACCAAGGAAAGCTATAATTTTATGGTGTTGTACTATTTTGTTGTTTTTTTTCATACATATTTACTCGTGAGATGATAGTGAATTATTGAAAAGAAAAAAAAACTGACATTTTCATCGATGTCTTGTGTTGAACAATAGCTATGGACAACGTTTCGCTTAATGCATTCGTTTATGAAATGTAGGTGGGAAACAGGGGTTGTGATGTTGTTGTATACAGTCATTAAGCACATCTTCTATTTAATTAATGAACATTAATGAACACCTTCATAACGCTCCAGATGTGCGGTTTCGTAATGACTGTATAACAAGGTTTGTAGGACTTGGCTCTGAACTGCACGGCACGTGCTGCGCCCTTCCTATTGAGAGTGACGTTGGCAAACCATCCACGACCCCCAACCCCCGAAGCTTCAATACAAGTTTGGCTCCCCCAGTGCAGTGCTGCTACCCGAGGACCAACAGCACTCGCAGCAGGGCAGCGGGACCCTGGACGGTCGTAAACAATAGCAGAGGAAAACATTACTAACGAACGACATCCACGAGCGATAGTAGAGGCATCCTGCCAGCCACCCAACCCCGCACCGTAGCGCGTCCTACACAGAGGTGTAACGATTCTTCTGCGGACGGTGATTTGACAAATGTTTTAGGATTCAAGGGGGCATGATTTGCTTTTAAGAATGTACTGAAAATATATTTCTGCCTAAATTTGTATAGCCTTACTCTTTGGTTCTTTCGGTAAAGTCACGTAGAAATAAAATAAATAAAATAATAGAATACGACGTTTAGATTGCAACACAAACAACCGTCATCAGGTATGAATGAATGAGAAAATAAACCTAGTAAACTTAGAAATGTAATGCAAGACAACACAGAGAGTCGGCTAACACTAGTCAACACCCTACCTGGTTGATTACATTTGTCCAAAGATTGCTAAATTTGAGAGAGAGACAAAACACAGACACGGGGACACATAGAGAGACACACAAGCAGAGAGAGACACACAGAGAGAGACACACACAGAGACACACAGAGAAACAATAACTTTGTGTCAAGGCCTTATATAGAGAGAGGGGGGTTTGAGGCAGATAATTTAGC